CTTTCTGGCGTGGGTGCTGAAGCCAATGACGAGTCGGAAGAAGCATTGATGAGGCAGGCTATCGCTCTTTCGAGAGGAGGCGATGTCGAAGATAACGCGCAGGCCCAACATCAGGAAGGCAGAGCCACGGTTGCCGGAGCTAACGATGGCGATGAAGATGTGGAAATGTCCGAGGAAGAGGCTATCGCTCGGGCAATCGAGATGAGTCTCAAAGAAGATGAGGAGAATGCCAAGTAGAACGATTCGCACACTTTCTTGCCACACGCACGTCACAATACTGGTGGCCGAGAATGATGATTCGTTGCACATGAGCGAGATGAGAGGGAGCATTGAGCTGCGCAAGTAAGGAATCGGGTCTAGGCTTCGTTCGACTAAACGTCAGATCGAGGCTTGTGCATCTCTTGGAGAAGGTCGAGCTAAAGGAAATCGCATTGGAATCAACCGTTCCGTAAGTGCTTGGGGTGGACAGTACAGCCAAACGGGTAGTCGGGAGTGAGATGGGCACTTTGGGAAAGACTTTGGAGCGTGGGTGAAGGCTTGGAGTGGGTGACATGGAGGATTGTGGAAAGTGGCGGAGGAGAGATGAAAAAGCCGAAAGAGACGAAGACGGAGAATTGGTCGTCTTTGGCGACCGAGCACTCCCTCCATCCCTCCTGAGAGTCTCATCTTGATACCTTGCCGAGCTGAATTCGAACCTGGGGTGAGTGACGAGCCTGAATTATGACCTAGCCTTGACAGAGAATCGGAGGAGATCGGAATTATTTGAAGCGCTTGGAAATCACATTTGACCTTGAGATGATCAATCCCTGCTCCCGCACTTGAGAAGTTGTTTGGTCCCGTACATCAAGCGATGACGCAAGAAGGGTAGCCGCCGCCCTTGCGCTAGAGTTGAAATTCGCTGCAGGTCAGCTTGATGTTGGAACGTGGTGAACGGCTCATGTGCCCATCGGTACCACGAGATGCTCACCTCCATGTTGACCATCTGGGTACGCGCGACAACGCAGTAAGTGGGTTGACCGGAGCCCTTGCCCTGCAGGAACAAGGAGCAGGAGGTTCTCAGCAGCATTCTACAAGGGAAGTCAGACGTCGGAGGACCTACTCACCTGGTCGACGAGCTTGTGCTGGTCCTCGTGCTCAGCGGAGACTGGAGCAGTGGTGATAGGAGCGAAGAGGGGGTTCATCTTGTCGACTAGGATGGTAGCGAAGGTAGCTGTTGCGATAAGAATGCTGCGAATTGGTAGATGCGCTGGTGAGTTGCTGAGTGAGGGAAGAATAGTGGTTTCGATCGAGGCTCCGGAGGGCATTTTATAGATGTTCTGAGCGCTGATCTGGCGGATCGCATGTGTGACTGTGTAACCCAAGGTCGGAGGCAAGCTGACAAGCGGCAGCAAAGATCAGCGCCACTGTGCCAGAATCTACAGGCGCCGTCAAAGCGTTGGGAACCAGAATAAAGGAACGGACGCTAGAGGCGCGCAGAGCAGGCCAGTTCCTGACCCGAGAGGCAAACGTCTGCAGTTGTCCAGTCAGAGCTGGCAAAGGACAAGGGAAACGCTCAAGTGATCGTTCTGCAAAGCGAGGCATTGTCTCTTCAGTCGATGTGAAGATCTACTACCTTGTCTGCTTATCTGTGGATATCTCACTTCTACCAAGGTCAGGTTGTTCCTCTGTTCCCGTTGGCTGTGAGCTGCAAATCACATCTGCCGCTATCGTGTAGGGCGAACGAACGGTCCGGGTAGACACCTGGAGCCATCAACGCACACACGCGTGGAGGAGGTGACTGGGGCGTCGGCGTTTTTGTGGCTCTTGTCCGACTGTATGCCATGCGCCTTCGCGACGCGTCTGGTGATGCATGCTCCTTTGTCCTCTCTGCCTATCGTTACAAGCTACCTTGGAGTCAGGAGCCTCTGTACGCCGCGCGAGACGTTGTCAAGAAGGTTGCACCTTCGCAGGCTGCAGCTTCGCTAGGTGGCACCGATAATTCGACTGCCGGACCGCTAGAGTGTGACTGTGACAAAGGAGGATCTCGGGTTTGGTCCTTGGACAAAACGAAGCTCGGCCGGCTCGTCCTCTCTACGCGTACTTCATGACCCGGCCTTTTGTCTCAGCTCGCCTTTTCTTTTGAGCTTCTGCGCATAGGTGGGCCCACTTGTGCATCATCTTACGAAATGCGGAATCTCTTGCACAATGGTGTATCGTAAGTCATGTAGACAAGTCGTAACACGCCTGCTTTAAAGCTTGTCGTAGAGACTTTGCATGGGCGTGTCCGATCTTGGCTGCGTCACTCACGATCCGCCTTCCATTCTCGACGAGAGTCCACAGCCAAGATGGCATCCCACGTTCTCGGCGGACGAGCCATGCCATCCCGTGGAATGGCCAGCCATCCGCTCGTCGCTCTTGAACCACTTTCAAAACTAGTCTGGATCGATCCGTAGCGCTTTCAAGTCTTGAGTACCAATTCTGAGTCCGATTGAATCTTGGATGTTTGATTGGGAGCCATGCACAGCCTTCAATGGTGAGTCTGAATAGTCGTGAATGACGATTTGACGTGATGCCCTGGTCAAGGATCAATCGACGCAGAGCCGGCCGCAAGCTTGGGATGCTTGGTCAGGCATTCGAACCAACAAGATTACATTCACCATTTTTGATTGTCATTAACATGGCAGTCTTGAGATGTGCCTGCAAAATGGTCATTCGGCATGTGTGAGAGTAATCGCCATGCTGCCCAAGACACGTGACTACTCAATTAAAGTCACAAGTCTTTATGAGAATACGAACAAAAAAAAGACTGAAAGTTCTAATCTTTATTGGCACGCATAACGCGGTTGGACAACCGATCCAAGTCAAGGTAATTCAATTAAGTCGTGGGTCGTCCCGCGTGCTGCGTGCAGCATGCACCATTGGAGGGACCGCCCGCGGCGCGCGCTGCAAATCGCACTCACGACTCGCGTGACTCTGCGGCACTTCATTGGAACATTCACTTCCCATGCACGTAAAGACATTTGGAATGACCTAATTGCACGGCCTCGCTGGCACAATCTAGCTTGTGTATAACATGAAGTCTCAATCGATTGCATGTTATGAGTCGGTCACCACAGTCACAGTTCATGTAGCCAAGATCGAGTCGACGACACAGTCGGCTAGTTGCAGCAATTCCGTCCTCGCGGCGCAATTTGGATCGAACAACCCGCGCAAAGCCCTTTGTTCACGCGTATTCAGATCGTTCGCACAGGCACTTCATCGTGACAATCAGGAGCAGAAGACCGCACGTACTACCACTACTCAAAACTACTGCATGCGGAGTCGCAGCATATCGTGGCGCTGGGCTCGCGTCTGCGACTGCGCGTCCATACACGCTAAAGCAGCGGAGTGGATACAATCAGCCAATCATCAATTCACATTCAGATTTGTCCGCCGCAAGAGAACGTTCACAAGATTAATTTACCACTTTGACAATAGCACATGCGGATATGGTGCCTATAGCTAGCTAGCTACCTTTGGCTCTGCTGACTGGTCCCCTACTTCGTCTGTGGCACCAATCACCTGAACGGGCATATCACAACAATCGGCCGTGTGAAAGTGCATGGCTACCCTCTCATGAGTCTTACTTGACTCCTCTTGTCCTCGCATGCACGGGCTCCACGGAGCAGCCGATTGGCTCCAAAATCGCGCAAGCTTCGCCCTCGTAGTGAAGGCGATCCCGAGGACCCTTCAGGGATGGGTGTCAGAGGCCAGCAGTCCTTTGTCCTGCATGTCTCCAGCGGGGAGACACCCAACGCACTACCATGCCCACTGTCTTGTCCGTCAAGTGCACGTTGTTGCTCGATGGCCGAGCCAGAAAGAACTCTGACTAGCTCCCTGCACTCCCTTGTCAAACAGCCGGCTGTGGACGCCGCCATGTGATCCACAACAATTGGTCATTCTTTTGACCTCGATGCATGTACGTACCTTGTGGAAGCATGATGCAGCAACAGCATGGGAATCCGCTTAGAGTGCGCTCCCAATCTTCACCAAGCGCTGGCGGTTCTTTTTGTCGAGCACTCGCCAGCAAGCATCTAGCATGCACCGGCACCCTTTTAGAGCCTCATGACAGGAGCTTCTTAAATGGCCAGAGGTCCTGGGTTTGAGGCAGACCAGACCACGCTCGGTGCGAACTTTTGCGCTACATCCCCTTGCCATCTGCCATCCCCACATCGTCCCAGCGTGCCGACCATGGGCTCTCCAGTTAACACCGCGTTTGCGGTTCTCAGTCTGCTATCGGTGCTCCCCTTGCTCCTCATCAGCCCGCTGCACTGGCGTATGCGAAACACAGGTGAGCCAGCGCATGCCAAGTAACGGCTCTACGATCATCTGCTGACACCGGGTAGCCTTTTCGCAGGTGGCATTTTGGTGAGACATGCAGTGAGAGAGACGCTTGAGGCACACCATACTCACCTCGATCGCTGCTGGGCTTCTCGCACACATGCTCGCTCTCTAGATCGTGAGTGCGGATGATGATGTAGGACGCACCTTCCATCGCTGACTTGAAATCCTCGTGCCTCAGATCTTTTGGACTGCGTTGGGCAATCTAGTCATGGGCATTTGCTCCATCGTCTGGGCAGACACTAGCGAAAATGTGTCACCGGCATGGGCTGACTTTTGTGCGCATACTTCTGAAGGTGTCAAGCAGTTTGGTTGCACCGCAAGCTGACCTTCTACGCCTTCGACAGCTGCGGCAATTGTCTGGGTCTACGCACCTGGATTTGTTGCCGGTAATTTGTGCATTCTGCGAAAACTCGAGGCGATCGCATGTAAGTGTGACTGCACTACTTGGGTAACCAGCCGAATCTAATGCAACGCTGCTCCTTTGTACAGCTACTCGTCAAGTCTCTTTCACGGACCGTGACCGACGAAACACACTCATTATAGATCTATGCATCGGCATCGGCCTCCCTATCCTGCTGCTTGCACTTCGTCCCATCAGTCAAGGACATCGCATTGGTAAGAGCCTAGAATCGAGGACAAATCAAATTGTCCATTCTCACGCGTCCCTATTCTCGCTGCAGACATCATCTCCAATTACGGAGTCAGAAGCCCATACTACTCTAGCATCGTCGGAGTCTTCACTTACCAGATCTGGCTGCTCGGTCTCGGCGTCGCTGGCTTTGTGTACGCAGGTGAGCCCTTCTTTGGTTCCACCTTGCTGAGCTGTTCCTCGTCTCCCAATGACTTACGCGATGTGGCTGCCAGGCTTGATACTGAGGTGGTTTTTGATGAGACGCCAGCAATTCGCGGCTGTTCTGGCAAGCAATTGCACAGGCCTGGACAAGGTGCGCCCTCCTACCCCTCGAACGTGGCCACGCAGCTGCTGATTCGCCGTTCCATCACTACAGAACAAGTATATCCGTCTGATGATACTGGCTCTCGTCGAGCTTTGCATCAGCTTTCCCCTCACGATCTACATAGTGGTAGCAAAGCTTGTCGACACACCCCTTCAACCCTACACGAGCTGGGCAGACGTGCACGAGGATTGGAACACAGCGTGGAGCTACGACATTTCTGAGCTCGACACTGCCGACATCGTCTACACGGAGCTAGGACGATGGCTTTGCGTTGCCTGGGCTTTCACGTTCGTGGGCTTCTTCGGGTTTACGCAAGAGGTGAGTGTGGAGAACCCATGCCGTAGTTCACCTCGAGTCTTTGCATTGGCTCATTCGAACCGCGTTCCTTTCGAAGGCACGAGCCCAGTATCGACGGTGGGGGGACGCTTTGGCACGCGCTAGCACTCGCCCCTTCAGCAGCAAGAAAGTCGAAGCCGAAAAGTGAGTCCTCAGCGCGCGTCGCTTCTGTGTCATGGCATCAGAGCTCACAGTGGATGCCGTCTCATCCTCCTCGTAAACGCAGTCTTCATCAAAGCAGAGCTCCACAAAGCGAGCCTCGGGAAACGGGACGTTGGTCGCCGAAAGCGTACCCTCACTTGGCCACTTACGACATGGTAGAGGCTAGCCCAAATCTCGCCTTCAACAAATCATCCGACTTCGACGAGGAAGCGCAGAAGACCCCATCATCTCAATCACCGTCCTTCAGCTTCCAACCATCTCCACCGAACCTCTCCGATATCTACGTTACGACCGAGCGAATCACCCACAAAGCTTAGCGACACACTCTTTGATTGCAGTAGTCTTGCTGCTCTCGTTTTCTAGGCTGTCGTTGCCCGTTTACGAATCTTTGTTGTAGTCCTACCTGGTCGTCACACGTCTGCGAATCGAATGCAAGTTTCAAGCCGCGTTTCGTTTCTGCACAAGGTCTATAAAGTCGCGTGTGCCCATGTGTAACGAGAGCATTGCCAGGCATCATAGGCTACTCACAGATAGTCCTCACTACACAGGTCAAGAGAATGCGAGCCTCTACAGAAGAGATGCAGGTAAAGACGAGGACTACTCGGGAGCACGCGATAGCTGGGCGTCATGGATCCAATTTTTGAGGTGAGTGCATGGCGCCAATTTGAGTTCTATTCTTAATGCTTGATTCCCAATTGTGAATCGCCCCAATTAAGCTCCGCCGTAAGGCAAGCGCACTCGTGACTTGGACAGTCTCGAGTCACGCATAGATGCCGAGGTGCATATTTTCTCGCTGGCCACCAACGCCGCGATGAGAACGAGGTGAGCTATCGTTTACAAGTTTGAATCCATAATACAACAGCCAACTGCCAAGTCCAAGTCCTTTGAGTCAAGTGCCATTCATTGATTGAGTCGAAGTTTACATGAGTTTTGAGTGTTCGGGGGCAACGTCGTGCAAACCACGTGACCAGGAGAAACGCCTGCGACCTTCGGATTTTCACTCAGACTCAAGACTTATCTTTTTGACTTTTGACTTCAAGCCTTCTCAAGTTCATCAATCTCGTGACTAGCTTGGACTTTGACATTGAATTTGTTGGTTTTGAACGTTCACGATGCGAGACTCAAGGTTCTTTCTTGATCCTGAGTTGGCTTGACAAGAGTGCTGCCTCCGAGTAATTCTTGATTATCATTCACGGTTCGAGACTCCTACAACGGTTATCTCCTGTGCATGCGTGACCACATCATTCTTCATTCAATCGTGAATGGCCTTCCCTTCGAGCAACCGTTCCGCGGTCTTTTGCCACGAGCCTCTTCCACCCGGCACCCACCACCTCCTGAGCAGCACAAGGCCGAGCGCTCCGGACGTATACCTGTGCGCCTCAGCAGTAAATCTGCTGC